AGAAGAGTATTATACACGTAACATGTTGTGTTCATTTCAGTGAGCAGTTTCCTGACACCTACTTCATCTATTTCTCTTCCCCCCCCCCCCCCACTGCACACTCTCTGTTGGTGCTCGTCTTTTTTTGGGTGGAGAGGGTTATTCTAAGTTTTAACCTCTAGTCTTTGCAGTTTTCCTCAGAGCCTTCAAGCTGCCAAGAAAGCCTTAATGGTTTTCTGTTATTGCAATAAGCTAGTGTCAAACATGCATAAGTAAATTCATAAATATATATTATCTGATTATAAATATAGGCTTTTTTCCTAAATGGACGCCAATGTGAAAAATAATATATTTTCATGCTGTACAAGGGTTTTTCCCCTTTCTCTCTTCCTTACTAGAAAATGAAACAATTTGAAGCCCAGAATGGAAAACCTTTGGCTGATGGTATATCTGTTCTCCTAAATGCATGTATTATGTATCTGTGTGGTCAGGGTTATAAATGTGCTTGGAGCTTGCTGTAATTTATAAGGCTTCACTTTTGGCTGATTTATAGGAAATTTCATTAATCTCTACAGCACAAGGACTTTGCAGTGAGCAGCAGATTGAAAATGAATCCAGGGCTGGGTTTAAAAAAAAAAAAAGAGCTACCACGAATGAATCAGCACAGAAAGACTCTGAATGGTTATGATCATTTACCAAGTCGAAAGTTCTCTCTCTCTCCCCCCCCCCTCCCCACTTATTATATTAGGATCTGTAAGAAACATTTTTGGGGCATCCCTCTGAAATTCTAACCCTACAGCTATAGAAGATGTGTGTGTGTGTATGTGTTTTCATATGTGTGAGAGAGATTTAAATAGCCATTTTTTATTCCTGTGTTCAGCACACATTTACTAATGAGAGTTTCTCTGCTGCTATGGCCAAATAGAAGGGTTGAAAGTGTATCAGGAAATCAGATGAGTTTGCTTAATAGGGGAAGAGAGCTGATGCTCAGCTCAGCAGTTTGTTGAAGCTTCTATTTTATCTACTTTCCTGAAATAAGCAAACAATAAGCATTTTGTCAGCATTTGTTTTCAAGTAGTAGAAGACTGTTCTTGAACTACTGCTCACTTTTACATTGTATCCCACTTTGAGTATCCTGTGGTATAAGTAGTAAAGGGAACAAAAGTGAGGCCACAGGTTGATGGATCTGGCTATGGGTTAAAATAGGTGACCAGGCCATACTAGCTGGGAGACTCTGAATCCTGAAGTTCAAAAATAACATAATTTTAACAGTCCCCTCCAGCTTAGCATCACTACCTGCTCTCAGGCTTAGCAAAGTAGAGTCAAAGTCACTCCAAAGCCTAGTGGGAGTATGTATGTGACCTGGTTTAATGCTTTGCATTTCACTTGTGGCACACTTGAGAAAAGGATTAGGCACTCATATTATTTTCCAGTATTTGTTTTTTTTTTTCTATTTCTAGTGCTGCTTTCCATTTTTTATTGTAATCTTGTGCATTAACCTTTGCAGTTTTTCTCAAGGATAGCTTTCAAACTGCCGAGAAATACTTTAATTGTTTTATGTTATTGTAATAAGGTGCATGTAGGCTGTGCCTCCCTGTATATCTCTCTTTGTCTACATCTCTCTCTTACACCAGCAGAATATCCCTTGTAACTTATGTGTATTTTGTATTGTTCTTTTATTGTTTTTATTATATTTTTATTTGACGTATTATCATATATATATACCTGGAATATTGTTTCCAATTCTGGGCACCACAATTGAAGGGAGATACTGACAAGCTGGAATGTGTCCAGAGGAGGGTGACTAAAATGATCAAGGGTCTGGAGAACAAGCCCTATGAAGAGCAGTTTAAAGAACTGGGCATGTTTAGCCTGAAGAAGAGAAGGCTGAGAGGAGATATGATAGCCATGTATAAATATGTGAGAGTAAGTCTCAGGGGGGTGGGAGCAAGCTTGTTTTCTGCTGCCCTGGAGACTAGGACATGGAACAATAGCTTCAAACTACAAGAAAGGAGATTCCATCTGAACATTAGGAAGAACTTCCTGACTGTGAGAGCCATTCAGCAGTGGAACTCTCTGCCCCGGACTATAGTGGAGGCTTCTTCTTTGGAAGCTTTTAAACAGAGGCTGGATGGCCATCTGTCAGGGGTGCTTTGAATGCAATATTCCTGCTTCTTGGTGGGGGGTTGGACTGGATGGCCCATGAGGTCTCTTCCGACTCTATGATTCTATGATTCTATATGTTTTTATATTTGCTTTGGCCTCATGTTAGCCACCCTGACTCCCCTTGGGGAGATGGTAGCGGGGTATAAATAAAGATGATGATGATGACGACGACGACGACGACGACGACGATTATTATTATTATTATTATTATTATTATTATTATTATTATTATTATTATTATCTGGAATTGCAAATTCCCAAACCCTCTAAAATCCAAAACTGTCCACATGGGTGGCTGAAATAGTAACACCCTTGTTCTCTGATGGTTCAATATACATAATTTTTGTTTCATGTACAAAATTATCAAAATAATTATTAAAAAATATCTTCAGGCTATCTCTGTAAGATTTATCTGAAATATAAATGTTAGACTTGAGCCCCATCTCCAGAATATCTCATGTTCAAATACAGGTATTCCAAAATCCAGGATGGGGGGGGGGGGAATCTAAAATCCAAAGCACCTTCTGTCCTAAACATTTTGGAGACAGGATCAAGCTGTCAAAGAGTGATGTAGGCCTGATAGTTTATCTTGGAGTTGTATAGAAATTCTTCCAAAAATAATGATCCACATAGGAAACTCCTATAAATGTTTAACCCTTGTCTTGAGGACTTGCCATATTTATTGGATAACACTTGTGTAGTCAGAAGATTTTAGGAAGTGGATTACATTCTATTGAAACCCATTCTGGAATAAATTAATCTAGAAGATGCCATGTGGTTTCTTTTCCTGCTTCTTTTTATGCTTTATTGAGTCAAAAGCTCCAAAATTAGGGGGGAAATACTTTTTGATTCAGCAAATTTGTTTTTAAATTTTGATTATGTCTGAAGATAGATTTTGTGGGACTCTGTTTAAATTTTTAAAATATTCTGCTAAAAATGATATGAATTTCAGCTATTGGTTTCTGTGTCAAATAAAAGGAAACTCAAACTGGATGATAAGAATGAAATGCATTATAGGATTGTTATCATGTAAGGTTCTCTGGAAATTCTTTAAATATATTCATAATAAGAGTGATAATCCAATATTGCAATGTTGTATTTTATAAATTAACTAGCTGTACCCGCCACCCGTTGCTGTGGCCAACCTTCCCTCCCTCTTTCCTTCCTTTCCTCTTTTTCTTTCCCTATCTCTCATCTTTCTTTCATCTCTACCTGTTTCTTTCCTCCCTTTCTTTGTTCTTTGGTTACGTCATTCCTTCCTTCCCTATCTTTTGTTCCTTCTCTCCTTCCTTCCCTCACTTTTTCCTTTCACTTTTTTATTTCCTTCTCTCCTTCCTTGCTTCTCTATCTTTCTTTCTTTTCTTCTTTCCCTCCCTGCTTTTTCTCCTTCCTTCCCTTTTCCCCTCCTTCTCTCGTTACTTCTTGACTGTCCCTTTCCATTTAATATTGTATTTATATCTTAGAAAGAAGGAAAGGAAGGAAAGAAGGGGAGAAGGAAGGAAAAGAAAGAAAGAGGGACAGGAAGGGAGGAAGGAAGGGAGGGAGGGAGGGAGGGAGGGAGGGAGGGAGGGAGGAAGGAAGGAAGGAAGGAAGGAAGGAAGGAAGGAAGGAAGGAGGAAAGAAGGAGGGGGTGAAGAAAGGACGGAGGGAAGGAAATGAAGGGGAAGGAAATGAAGAAAGGGAAAGAAGGAGGAAAGGGAGGGAGGGAGGAAAAGAAGGAAAGGAAAAAGGAAAGAGGAACAGGAAGGAAGGGAAGGAAAGGAAGGAGAAGGAAAGAAGAAAGGAAGGAAAAAGGAAGGAGGAAGGAAGGAAGGGGGAGGGAGGAGGAAGAAGGAAGGAAGGAAGGAGGGAAAGGAAGGAGGGGGATGAAGAAAGGGGGGAGGGAAGGAAATGAAGGGGAAGGAAATGAAGAAAGGGAAAGAAGGAGGAAAGGAAGGGAAGGAGGGAGGAAAAGAAGGAAAGGAAGAAGGAAGGAGGGACAGGAAGAGGGAAGGAGGGAAAGAAGGAAAGGAAGGAGAAGGGAGGAAGAAAAGGAAAGGAAGGAAGGAAAGGGAGGGAGAGAAGGAACGTCCTTCAATCAAGCACCGTGGACCTTCCTCGCCCCCTCCCCCTCCCCCTCCTCATCCCCCCTCCTCCTCCCCTTCTTCCTTGCATGGATGCTTCGTTGCTGCTGCCGTTGCTGCTGCTTTCCCAACAGGAAAAGGAGGAGGAGGGGACTGCTCTCCTGACATAGGAGGGAAAGAGAAGGGGCTGCATGTGGCGCCCCTCCACCTCCACTCGCTTGTGTGTGTGTGTGTGTGTGTGTGTGGCCATGCACGTGCACCTGGCTTTAACGGCTGGCTGTTTCCCCGCGAGGAGGGGGGCGTGGCCATGGGTCTCTGTAGACATGCAGTTTCCCCTTTGTGGACATGCAGTTTAGAAGTCCTTTCTGCTTTTTGTTTTCGTTGTTTTTTTGAGTGGAGAACATACATTGGGTTGTTAGGGACATAGTGTCCAAATTTGGTGTCAATTCCTCCAGTGGTTTTTGAGTTTTGATGGTATCACAAACGAACATTACATTTTTATTTATATAGATTATATAGATTATGTGTCAGTTTATACTTTCTATTTAACATATATTTTATTCTTTATGTTTTAATATTAATATTTAAAGATATCAGTCTCAAAAGATTTCTTGAGATTAATAGTTGTATCTAGGTATGGGAAATTAAATGCATTATTGTTCATCATAATTGCATTTTTTAAATTACATAGTCAGGGAACTGTAGACATTTATCTACAAATAAATACATAAATAAATTATCTGTCATTCGAGACTAATTCCTCTCTCTCTCTTTCTCTTTCTCTCATTTCAGACTATTAGACTCCTGAAGGACCAACACCAAATAAATTATGAATGTTGAACAAGATGACCTTACATCCACAGCAGATAATGATAGGTCCTAGGTTTAACAGGGCCCTATTTGACCCCTTGCTTGTGGTGCTATTAGCTCTTCAACTTCTTGTGGTTGCTGGTTTGGTCAGAGCTCAGACCTGTCCTTCTGTCTGTTCCTGTAGCAATCAGTTTAGCAAAGTAATTTGTGTAAGGAAGAATCTGAGAGAGGTCCCTGACGCCATCTCAACCAACACCCGGTTATTGAATCTCCATGAGAACCAGATCCAAATAATTAAGGTGAATAGCTTCAAACACCTGAGGCATTTAGAAGTATTGCAACTGAGCAGGAATCACATTAGAACAATTGAAATAGGGGCCTTCAATGGTCTGGCTAATCTTAATACTTTGGAACTCTTTGACAATCGTCTTAGCACCATCCCAAATGGGGCTTTTGTGTATTTGTCAAAACTGAAGGAGCTTTGGCTGCGAAACAACCCCATTGAGAGCATTCCTTCTTATGCTTTTAATAGAATCCCCTCCCTGCGAAGGTTGGATTTGGGGGAATTAAAAAGGCTTTCATATATCTCAGAAGGTGCCTTTGAAGGTCTGTCCAATTTAAGGTATTTGAACCTTGCTATGTGTAACCTTCGGGAGATTCCTAACCTCACACCACTCATAAAACTGGATGAACTAGATCTTTCTGGGAATCACTTAAATTCTATCAAGCCAGGATCCTTTCAAGGCTTAATGCACCTTCAAAAATTGTGGCTCATCCAATCCCAGATTCAAGTGATTGAAAGGAATGCCTTTGATAACCTTCAGTCACTAGTAGAGATCAACTTGGCCCACAACAATCTAACACTACTGCCTCATGACCTCTTCACACCTCTCCGTCTTGAAAGAATCCACCTACATCATAACCCTTGGAACTGTAATTGTGACATCCTGTGGCTCAGCTGGTGGATTAAGGACAAAGCGCCCTCAAACACTGCATGCTGTGCCCGTTGCAATACACCTCCAAGCCTGAAAGGAAGGTATATTGGTGAGCTGGACCTGAATTACTTCACATGCTACGCTCCTGTGATTGTGGAGCCACCTACAGACCTCAACGTCACTGAAGGCATGGCTGCGGAGCTGAAATGTCGAGCATCAACATCCCTGACCTCTATATCTTGGATTACTCCAAATGGGTCTGTTATAACACATGGGGCTTATAGGGTTCGGATTTCTGTGCTCAGTGATGGCACATTAAATTTTACAAGGGTGACCGCTCAAGACACGGGCTTGTATACATGCTTGGTGAGTAACTCTGTTGGGAATACCACAGCTTCTGCAACACTCAATGTAACTGCACAGGAGTGTATTACTTATTTTTCAACTATCACAGTAGAAACTGTGGAACCTTCTCAGGATGAGGCACGGACCACAGAGCAGGTTTGGCCCACACCAGTCACTGAATGGGACACCACCAATGCAACAACCTCTCTCACTCCACAGAGCACAAGGTCAACGGAAAAAACATTTACTCTCCCTGTGACAGATCCAAGCAATGGAATCCCAGGCATAGATGAGGTTATGAAGACTACCAAAATCATTATTGGTTGTTTTGTGGCAATCACTCTTATGGCTGCTGTGATGTTGGTCATTTTCTACAAAATGCGGAAACAACATCATCGGCAAAACCACCATGCTCCAACGCGAACTGTAGAGATCATTAATGTGGATGATGAGCTTACAGGTGACACACCCATAGAAAGTCATTTGCCCATGCCAGCAATAGAGCATGAGCACCTAAATCACTATAACTCTTATAAGTCTCCTTTCAACCACACAACAACAGTTAACACAATAAATTCAATACACAGTTCAGTGCATGAACCATTATTGATCCGAATGAACTCAAAAGACAATGTGCAAGAGACTCAGATCTAAAACATTTACAAATTTAAGGGGGAATTTAAAACAAAAGACAGTTTATTAAAAAATGACACAAATGACTGGGCTAAATCTACTGTTTCAAAAAAGTGTCTTTACAAAAAAGAAATTTATTTATTAAAAATTCTATTGTGAGCGAAAGCAGACAAAATTATGTGTATTCCTCAGAACCTCTTTTTGCTGCACTTATTTACCCTACTTCTTTCCCTCCCCTTTCTTCTCCCCCTCCCTCCCACCTTCCCAATCCCATTTGCCATATTTTTCATAGAACAACTTGATTCTCTAAAAAAAACTGGTCTAGGAATTTTTGTAAGAATTCTGTTAACGCTTTGGGAATTTTTATGGTGAATTCTAGTGGTGAGATTCGGTCTATTTTGTCTTTTCTCATTTCATTTTCTTCTCATGCCCTTTTTGAAATGGTTCAACAGGGGAATGGATGTTAGTGGTAGACTCATAAGAACAATCAAGGAACAACAACACAAAAAATAACAAAATACTTTCCTTTTAATTTTTTTCCACATAATGACCTACTCTGTATTTCCTAAAGGGACCATTCTGTGGAAGATGGGGGGGGGGGGGGGGGGGAAATCCAAGAAATTAATTTTCATGTGAGCATCTATAAAACCCATGATCTTTTAAACAATTCTAGAACCAGGATTTGTAGTTCAAACACTAAAATAAGATTATAAATAAAATATTGTTGGTTTTTTCTGTATTTGGAAACAACTCATTTTTAATATGGTTCTAAAATGTCAAAAAAGTGGTTCAACATTTTGCATTTTCCCTGCATCTTTTCACAGCAAAAGAAGGAAAGAAGCTTAAGAACAACATTATTGTTGCAATGTTTGGATTTTAAATGAAAATCAGTTTTATGTTTATTTTTGGTCATATTGAGATCATCTTATTGGTCAAAATCCATAGATACCATCAAGCTTTAAATGCATTTCATGTAAACTGTACACATTCAAATGGTGACATGAGACCTGCTACAGGAAGTCTATCAGTCTTCTTAGATAATGTGAAAAGTATTGACATCTTCCATATGGTTGCATTGCCCTGGAAATTTTCTGGATTATGTGGAAAGAGATCACTGGTAGATAGATGATGGTTTCTATGTCAGTAGAGTAATGTATCCCTTCTGGATTTTCCCCCACACTTTAAAGGAGTTACATAAGGTGCTGAACATCTTTGGAAGAGGTTACAAGTTTGAATTATAACCTTGATCCATTGCCCTGATGACATGGAAGGCCCCAGTTGCTACTGGAGATTTACCATGTAACATGATATATACAGGGCGAGGCAGCATAACTTCCTTTTTCCAAAACTTAATAAAACCCATTGTATGAACCAGAAATTTTTATTTTTTATAATGTAGGTGCATACCTAAAGTTTTGTTTTATGTAGTTTTGAAGATCAAATTAGGTAGCTGTTGTCCCCCATTCTCCATAGACTGAGTAAACCGATTTCTGGCATTTGTCATGACTTGCCAGCATAGCAGGCGTTATGTTGGCAATTTCTTCCTGGATGTTGGTCTTCAAATCTTGTAGGGTCTTTGGATGGTTCACATAAACACGGGATTAAAAAAAAAAACCCTTAGAAAAAAAATCACAAGGGGCCAAATCTGGAGAGTGGGCTGGCCACTCCAAATCCGCTCAAAAAGTAGGCCTCAATGGCAAAAGCATGCTCCCCCACTGTTCCAACGCATGATGGTGACTGAACTGTGTCAGGACAAAACTTTATACTGTCGCCTCTCAAACAGGACCACTAGCATTTCACTATGTCTTCAACCGACTGAATAGCGCGCATTTTAAAAAAGGAAGTTATGCTGCCTCACCCTGTATTTTTTACATTACTGAAATACTGCAGAAGGGAGACAGTGCAGTTTAATTACATGTAAGCAGAAGATCACGAGAAGGGATCTCAAGACAACTAGGGTCAAATATCCTTCCCATTTTATGGATCAGGATATTCCTCTTGAAAAGAGAGGGAAGGAAGTATATCAACATATTCAAAATGTAGTGAGATCAAAGAATATGAAATTTACTAGAATGTCCCATGTTCAAAAGAAAATGGCACCAAGCTGCTAAAGGCAACTGAGTTCCTGCTTAAAGAGGCAGAGAAGCCTTTTTTAATTGTTAAAAAACGAGAAGAAATTATGTCAGCTGCTTCTTTAAATATAATATCACTTTCCGCAAGCAATCTCCTCCCTTGAAAATTAAGATTCATGGCACTTCTCCTATGAATAAAGATAACTAATCATGAGGTAAATCCTCATTTCTTCTCTCTGGATTGGGTGATATCTTCCAGAATGAGAATATGGTTCAGATTTCATAAAATTGGGTATATAATATTAAGTGATTATAAATCATTTTGTGTTATTGCTGATATAGAATTAATAATATTTAATAAATGTGTTGATTTTGGATCTATGGAAATTGCAAATCTGAAAGTTAACTTTCCAGCTCAATTGAAAGGAGATGGAGCCAAGAAATACAAATTACTGAAAACTTTTAGTGAGCTGTTAATGAAGAATTAAAGGTAAGTGAATTATGTTGTCCTGAGCCAGACAGGTAAGAAAAAGAATGGCTATAAGGAACACAGTTCTCCAGTGAGAATACACTAGAAATAAACTAACGGAAAAAAAGTCTACTATTTGGAGATTATTTTCATATTATAGGTAAAGACAAGCTCTCATGTGTCTCTGCTATGGAATACAGGCAGTCCCCGAGTTACAAACTTACTTACAAATAGTCCATGGTAAAGAATGGTGGTGAGACAATGGGAAATGAGTGACATTTATCCCTCAAAAGGAAAATTCATTCCTGAAAGAATTACCATGGAAGAAAGTTGTCTCCATTGAAGCTTTATGACCAATCCTTGTTTCCACATCAAGCCAAATCTTTGAAAGTTCAGCTATCACAGGGACAGGAAGTGAGGTGACATCTTCTGACCAGGGGTACAGAAAAGGAAAACACTCATATATATTGTACTTATTCTGACTTACATACAAATTCAACTTCAAAATTCAACTTAAGAACAGACCTACAGAACCTACCTTGTTCATAACTTGGGGCCTGCCTATAGTTATTCTATTCTACATTATATCTTTGCAATGTCCTCTCTTCCAACATTGCCACAAAGATGTGGGAAATATGTTGTTAATATCTGAATCCTTGCTTTCTATGAAGTGGGAAGCCAACCTTAATAGAACATTTCTACCAGAAAATATTAACATGAGTGTTGCGTACATCCATTGCAGTAGTAGCAGCCAGAGACCCAATTTAAAGAAGCCCATGTTTTGTTTTGCTCTTTAAAAAAAAGTTTAATTCTTTGTCAGTGTGACTGTGGATCTACTTAATATTTGTGATGAGGAAGAAATCAGAACTGGGTAGAACTTTTCAAATAAACATCTTTTCAAATAAACATCTTTTCAAATAAACATGCACAAATGTGAATGGATACAGTTACAGTGACTTGACAATGGTATTGGTATTGGTCAGCGAGTCACCATACTTAGATTCCAAGTACTATGTTAAAGAAGAGCGAAAAATCTGTCCTAAAGATACTGCCATTGCTTCTTGGTTGGAAAAGTCTTTAAATTGAAAGGGTTGGGGATATGAAAGAGTACTTTGAGCATAGCTGGCCCAAGGCAATTCACAACTCGTGGTGAAGAACAAGCAAACAAAGGCCAACCAAATAGTTTTGTTTAACTTTCACACATAATGAGACAGTATTGTCACAATAGTTGTGAGGGGTAGACTCCGTGGCAGACAGTTTGGTTATCTTCAAATTTGGTGTCATATGCAAATTTGATAAGCATGTAGAAGCAAGAGCTGGCATTAACATTTTCATTCGAACCTTTTCCCTGGATTTACACAAGAAACAAACTGGGGATGTACTTATTCACTAATGTTATTATTAAAAGTTTCAATAGGGTAGTTTCAGCAATTTTCATTGTGTGAAAGTCTTCACAATCAACAGTTTCTGAAGGTTATTTGCAATTCAGTATTTAATTCTGCTCAAAATGGCAATGTTCTGCAGGGACCAGCCTTTTCTGCACAGAAAACTATTTATTCATGTATAATAATATTTCTAACTCAGAAATATTTCCTGTGCAGAAAAACTAATTTCCACACACACAAACTGTATACTATGTAAAAGATTCATGTGCGAATTTTGTGCAGAAATAGTCTCAAATTCTGAATAGTCATTCTAAACTGAAGAACAATAGAGAACCCTCTTTTTCTTTTCATTTTTGGTCAGAATTCTGTTCTTGTTGTTGTGCGTGACTAATTGGATTTTCAGTCTCCTTTTCAATGTGTTGTAGGGGGTTTTTTTTATGGAAGGAGAGCCATAGTTTCACATATGTCAAGATTCACCGTTCAGCATCAGTGACCATCAAAGAAACTCTAGATGCTTTCAGACAAGAAAATTAATGAAACACAAGTCACAGGGGGGAAAGTGTACAATAATAATAATAATAATAATAATAATAATGTTATTTCTTACATGCTCAATGCGGGTATTTATTTATCATGTCAGTATCAACCAGAAAATTGTATTACATTTTTAACAAATTTTTAACAAACAGACAAAACAGAGTTTGCAAGCTTGGTAGTTGATTAAATGTCCTTTGACCAGTAGCTGGCCACTTGGAGTGCCTCTGATGTTGCTGCAAGGAGGTCCTCCATTGTGCATGTGGCGGGGCTCAGGTTGCATTGCAGCAGGTGGTCTGTGGTTTGCTCTTCTCCACACTCGCATGTTGTGGATTCCACGTTGTAGCCCCATTTCTTGAGGTTGGTTCTGCATCTCGTGGGTTACAAAATTCCTTAAACACATAATCAAAACACACAATCATTTAAAAACACTCAGTAGAATATATATATTAAAAATATTTACATAAAATACATATTAAAATACACAAAACAAAAGCTAGACAGAGTGGAAGTTTAAAATTCACCATTAAAATTACAGTGAAATGATGTAGGCTTGATCTACTATTAAGAATGTGGATGCAAACAGGAAAAACCCCTTTAGATCATTGTTTCCCAAAGTCTGGTCTTCCAAATGTTTTGATCTTCAGCTCCCAAAACCTCTGATCATTGGCAAAGGCAGTTGTAGCTTCTGGGAGCTGAAGCCCA